GAGACCTCCATCATGGGTCAAGCGAATAAGAGAGAATAAAGTGAATGTATTTGCCAAGCAATATAGCCTTGAAATCAATTGAGAAGCAACACACTGGATGTAGCTTAGTTTTGAGGAGTGAACTACTTATATCTTTGAGTGCGTTTCATTTAAGTCCAATTCACTAACCCACCTAAAATCAGTTATTTAAGTTTGTTAACATTACAGTTTTGAGCGTTAACAATATCAAAACTCGTTTTTTTTTTTTTTTTTAGATTCTACTCATAGCGCATAGTCAATTGGAACCTTATCAATAGGTAAGCAAAGTATAACTACATTACCTCTGCAATAGGTTTCAAAACCTATCTACGTAGGTTTTAGAACCTATATCACCATCTTACCTCTACATTTGGTATCAAACTCATTCACACTACCTACACATTTGGTATCAAACTATCCACATTACTCAAAAACATTCAATTTCAATATCATTAACCAAACGTCATAAGGTTACTTATCTTCAACTTTTTTTTATCCAATAGTAGTTGGTTTCTCACTTTATTAAAGTACATGAATTAAAATCTCATGAATGAAAAATACTGATTAATTAACCACCAACACATCACACACAAGTAATTAACGTTGTCTGAAACTATTTTTGATTTGATCTCGAAATCCTCATATAGCATTTCTTCCAATTGTAGATGGGTAATTCATGTTCCACATGGCCAAATAAGCGTCATTTTTTAATCTTACTATAACTTGATTCTTTGAGAGATGTTAAGGAGACTTTCTTAACAGTGAATTCTTTATAAATTTTCTTCAACTTACAGTTTAATTTCCATAATAATATTATAAACCTTAACCATACAACAAATTCCATACTCGACCTACACTTCTATTTTGGTCCGTGGTTTGATGATGGACGATGCCAGTTGGTGCGTGTAGAGAGAAAGAAAAGAGAACATGATAAAAAAAAGGATAATGGAAACTGAGGAACCTATCAGTGAAGCGGTTCGCCGCATACGAACTCAGCTACTTACATGTGTCCGTCCCATCATCCCTCCCTTAAAAAGGCCAAAAGCAAATCTCCCTCTCCCTCTCCCTCTCTCTCTCTCTCTCTAGATCTCTATCTTTCTCTCTCTTGTTTCTTCCAGTCTGTTGATGCTTTTTAATGGTTGATCTACGTGTTTCCCACTAGGGTTTGTCTTCCACTATTTCTCAGTCCTACTCGTACGCTCCTTCGTACTTGGTCTTGGGCAAAAAGGGCAAAAAAATAATGAACAAAAAGGGAAATGATATTGCAACGCCGTCTGTGGGAATCGAACCCACGACCACGTGGTTAAAAGCCACGCGCTCTACCGGCTGAGCTAAGACGGCTTACTTGATCATTCATCCGATCTTTCCTTAGTTAATATGCAAGACTAAGCGAAGGGCTTCTTCCACACTTACTGTAGGCATATTTTTGTTGGGCCCAGACTTTTAGTCCAGGTCTATTCATAATCTGGCTGGGCTCAACCCCGAAGCCCAGTTATCAACACCAAGCAATTGGTCTAGTCAGCGTGCTTGCCTGGTTTACATAATTTTTTTAGCCTCTCATACATGTCTTTTTATTTCTAGTCACCAGACTGAATATTTCAAACGAAAAATAACGAAGAAATTCATAATTAAAACATGATAGGCTTAAAGCACGAAACCACTCACAAATTCATTAATCCTTGAAATATTACATAACATAAACAACGTAGAAGCATCTTTGAAATCGAATACTTGTTAGTTTAAAGAGATTCTTATCCTTCACTCTGTCTTCACTCGAAGCAATCTTTTTCTTCACCATTTATATAGTTTCAAAGTCGTCATTCCATGTCCCACACGTGTTAGACTTTTGTGATCTAAATCTATGTTTATAGAGGCATGATATAATGCCTTGGGATTGGTTGGTTGGTTTGATCAGCTCGTATTAAGAAAAAGCTAAACTGAAACTTTATTGTGTTTGGCTCGCGAGCAGTTTGTAATTTAGAGTAGATTTTATTTGGGAGAGTATCTTTTTAATAATAAAAAAGAACGCTTTAAGCATTGTGTTTGTTTCTACATTTTGAAGTTTACATGAACTCCGCAAAGTATTATATTTGCGTTGAGCCTGAGGATTCATATAATATTAGAAAGAGAAGTATCGTTAGAAATGAGCACAGTTAGGCTGGTATTGATTTTAGCCAAAAATGAGGCCCAATCAACTACATTTTGTAATGGGCCAAAGTCCAATAATTTTGGGTTTGCAACATTTCAACTTCATTAGCCCAATTACAAAACATAATAATAAACAAACAAAACCTATTTTTATTTTATTTTCTAGACCATTAAACCATATGAGTTTTAATGAAACACTCTTGGTATTGTTCACTTTTAACAAAAAAAAAAAAAAAAACATTTTTACCTTTTCCTTGGTACTATTAACTATACATTTATTTGTCATTTTTCATTAAAACTAAAGTTTTTTTTGGACTTGTCGTTAGTTTTCCTTTAAACCATCCCAAACTCTGAACTTATATGATACAGGTAAACTGCTATTATAACATTTTGTGTCAATAATATGTCATGTAAAGAAAAATTTTCATATTTTTTATATTATTAGCACATAACATGAAGATATACTCGTGTCATGTAAGTTATTTTCTATAGACAAAGACTTTCCTTACATCCACATGCATGCATCATAATTCATAAACATCGTTATCAAGACAAAAATATCTTAGCTAAAAAAGGATTAAAATAAATGTCTGTCATTTCGACCGAAAAAAAAAAATGTCTCAGTCATTGCAATTGCCCACAAACCTTTGTCCGTTTGCTAACGGGATTTTATTTAACTTATGATGTATAATATATCTTCGGCCAACCGTCCAATAGCGGGCAACAAAGACAAAAGGCTTAAAGTAAAGCCTACGACTTTTGAAAGTGAAATTTAAGAACCTGAATCAGAATAAAGGTACCTTGAATCGAATCAAACCGAACCACAATTCTAATTAATTAAAACCTAACTCACAATAATTAACCACAGTAAATAAATAAATAAATTCTTCAACATCACACTTGCAACTTTGTTATTGGACGAATGTGATGTTTGGTTGGACATGGATCGGTGAACGTGGGAATTATTATAAGAATACAAATCCAAATGTTACCTACTTTTTGGAGAAGTTCTTGTGTGCGACCAACGGTATTAAAAAATATTCTATTTGTTTCTAATTTATATTAATAGAGCATATAAAGCCAGTAGTTGATTTAGGATTTTAATATCTCTTAATCAAGATACGGTAGCTGTTAGTCGGACTGCAGGTTAAGGATTAGTGCCTATATGTCTAGATGGGACTTAAGTGGACTAGACGGATTTTAAGCAAATTTATTATATAATATAAAGTAAGTGTCTATTTACATTTTAAAAAATTACTTGCATTAAGAATTTGAGTTTTTTGTTAAAAAAAAAAAAGTATCGTTGAAGATGTTAAAATATGAAAGAAATAATATATTGCATGCATTAAGATTTTTTCGGATAAGGAGAGACCGATTGGTGGATATTGAACTCACACTAGACTGCATAAGTATGATTGCTTTCTGCCACTGCAATAAAGCGCCATCTACAATTTTTAGTAAATATATATATATATATATATATATATTTTAACAAACGATATTTTTTATACTAAAAGGAAGAGGGGTGACTCACTATCATAATAAGCTAACAATAATGTGGTTCAAATTCGTCTTTGACGATAATCAAACCTAAGACCTCACACTTATGAGTGAAGAAGAATACCAATAGATCATATTACTAAGTGGCCAGATTTTGGTATATATCAATTGATAATAAAACTGTGAATGCGAATGATGTAAGCAAGCAACAATAACCTGTAGAAATTGTCAAACAAACAAAAGACAAACTTTGATAATTTGGATTGGTTTATACGGTTTTTAAATAAGGCTTAAACCGAACCAAAAGAAACTAATTGCAGTTACGATCATTTGGCTCCAAAATTCCACATTTATTGTTCAGAAATGGGACCAAAACACAATGGGTGTATTAGGGAATTTGAAAGATTTTAATAGATTTTTTTATGGAGTTTAACTGATTTGTAGAGATTTTATGTAAAATTTTGATTCAATTCTCTTGAAAACTCATGGGGAGATGTGAGATTTGTGGATGCCTAAAATATACTACAAAATCTCTTAAATTCTTTCTAATTCCTCAACTTTACCAAATTTTTTAAATTTCAAATTCTAATTGAATACACCTAAAATGTTACAAATTTCTTTAAAATTCTAATTGAATACATCTCCCTTAAACTTGTTTGATTTGGCTTATTTGAATGGTTTAAGATATTTGGTGTGTAAAAAATCGAACTTAAAATTTTTGCTTATGACATCATCACGTTGCGATAAGATATTGTTAGAGTTAATTCAAATGGAGGTAGATTGTCTGCCCTCCCATTACAATGCCCTTCCCATCTCCTTCTATATTGTGCAGTACGATTAAGCCACGTCAACATTTTATATTGATTTTTTATAGAAATAATAAGATATGTTGACGTAGCTTAACCGTGACTGTACAAATAGAAAGAGATTGGAAGGCATAGTAAAAGGAGGCAGACAATCTGCCTCCAATTCATATAACCCTTCGTCGTTTTTAATGTCTGGACTCGGATCATTTTGCGATCAGTTGGTATCCATGAGGACATCATCGGAGCTGCCGTGCTAAATTGGACAATTAGATTCCACGGAATATCCTTCACTCTTTCACACGATTACTCACCCCTTTCACTTGATCGACTAAACACCCTCCGTTCGATCTCTGACCAAACCTTCTTTACAGGTGCCGCGAAGCACCAGATCTTTCCTCAGCAGAATCATCTGAAACAGGGGTATTTTAGTCATTCAAGCCGAAGCCGGAGCCAATCACAATCGACAAAAGCAGACGAGCAAACCAACCAACCAGCCGCCAGGAAAGGACGGAGCCCATGCTGCTAGGAAAGCAACTTAGCAACCTCCACCCGAAAACGGCGTCGTATCGAGGAAGCCTAATTGCTAAATCCACAAAAACGACGCCGCTGCCTCTTGTCTCATTCATCTTCTTCTGATCTTATCTCATCGGCAACATCATTTCCCTCTCTCCCAAGTCATCCCCGTCACTGTTTCCTCAGATACCAATCCACTGCCGATCGGAAAACTCACTCCACGACGGCTCCGCCGACTCGCGACGGATCTTATCGAACCGAGTTCAGCTGTTGATCGCAATTAACTGGAAGCTTAAGCTGAGACGACGCCGTTTACTCTCCCGATTGTTCGCTCTCTAATGTGACCGGCTCTGGTAGGGGACAAAGTCGTGATTTCCTCGAAATGGATCGGCAGGCGATGACGGTCGGGCCGGCCATGGACATGCCGATCATGCACGACAGCGACCGGTACGATTTCGTCCGAGATATCGGGTCAGGAAACTTCGGGGTCGCCAGGCTGATGACGGACAAGCAGACCAAGGAGCTCGTCGCCGTCAAGTACATCGAGCGCGGCAGCAAGGTCAGTTTTGGGATTTCAGTGTTGTTATCGGTGGTTTTGACTAATTTTTGTGCACCATCCATTTATGGATATAGATTTTTCAAGTTTTCAGTTTCTAAATTTAGTAATTTGATCGTTTTTTGAATAAATTTTGCGGCGGTTGTACCCTTTTTGTATTTATTACAAGCATTTATTTCTTGTGATTGATGTTGTTAGCATTAATTGATGTTTAAATGTTAGAAAAGATGGTGTTTTGATTAATTGATGATTAAATCATGTAGAGTTGGGTTAACAAAGATGTTGAATTTTTTAGTGTGATTAAACTTGCAAGTGGAAAAAATTGCTTCGAATGATTTAGAGCTCTGTTGGTGATGATGGAGTGGTGAGGCTTTTGGAGCATTTGTTTCTCATCATGGTTTTCGGTGTTGCAGATTGATGAAAATGTTCAAAGGGAGATAATAAATCATAGGTCTCTGAGGCACCCGAACATCATTAGATTCAAAGAGGTTAGTTTAGCCGTTTCTTGACAATAGATTTTGATTTCGGCTTTCTAGTGATGGTAGGATGGTTGGCTGCTAATCTACTCTGGGCTTCACTCTACATATAGGTCATTCTGACTCCTACCCATCTGGCCATTGTTATGGAATATGCTGCCGGAGGAGAAATGTTTGAACGAATACACAATGCAGGGCGGTTCAGTGAGGATGAGGTCCCCATTTCAATATCTATCATTCCTCCCTGTCTTTCTATTTTCTTTTCAATTTGGTTTTTTACTTGACATGTTGAAGATGTGTTTTTCATTTTTGGTCCAGGCCCGCTTCTTTTTTCAACAACTTATATCTGGAGTCAGCTATTGCCATGCTATGGTATCGAAACGACGAAATCTTTCTTTTTGGCTTCGTTTAAGACATGTATTTTTTTTTTTCCATTGGACGTGGACTAGATGATTTATTTGAATTATCACTTTCTCTCTTGAAGCAAGTATGTCACCGAGACTTGAAGTTGGAAAACACTTTGTTGGATGGCAGTCCAGCTCCTCGTTTGAAAATATGTGATTTTGGGTACTCAAAGGTACTGGTCGTTTATATCTTTCTTGCTTATTTGGCATATGCTTTTGTGTTCATATCATTAACTAAAATAAGGGGAACTCAAGGCTAACTTGAAATGAACTTCTTATGTAGAGCTCTTATTCTAAGATCCTGGGATATCTGTTTCCTTGAATTTTGACTTGATCTTAGGCAAGTTTGATCAGAGACCTAGGGTTTTCGTTTTAGATACATTGCTTATAGATTATTTGAGGATTTGATCTCTCGAGTTAAGGAGAATTTCATAACTGATGTAGTTTATAGTATGGTTGTGTAGCCTAAGGTACTGGCCTGCTGACTCTGCTCGAATATCTGTTTAAATGATCAAGAGTCAAGTTATTTTAAGTTTGTTGTATGCTATATTGGATCATAATGTTTATGTATCTGATTGTGGTTATGTATCAGTCTTCAGTGCTCCATTCACAACCAAAATCTACTGTGGGAACTCCTGCATACATTGCTCCAGAAGTATTACTGAGGCAAGAATATGACGGAAAGGTATAAGAATTGCTTAATCTTGTTAATCATTTACCAAATTATGATGACTTGGACCCAGAAGTTATAATTGACTACCATTTTGTTCTAGAGAATTCAATGAACTGAATTTTGATAAATGTTATTGTGATTAGTTGATTCCGTGCTTTCCCATTAAATTTGTTTCAACTTTTACAAACTGTAGTTTGAAAAGCCCCCTCATATTTCTGTCTATTAAATTCTCTCTCACCATTCAAGTTTTGCTTTTGAATTCCAAGTAACATTTTAGCATAATTTTTATGCTCATAGTTTTGTTTTAAATGTCAAAGTAAGAAATACTATTGCTGGCTCATACAAGTTTGAACTGCAGCTAAACATGTGTTTGACCAAAATAAGAAACACTTTTTCTTGCATATACTATTTTTTTGAACCATTTTTTACCTTTCCATACCATTAAGTTGAAGTTTTTGTAAATTTAAAAAAAAAATGTAGTCCTGTTAATGGAATTGAGAAGTTTGTATGTTGAAAGTGTGTTACAACATCAGATTGCAGATGTATGGTCATGTGGGGTAACCTTATATGTGATGCTGATGGGAGCATATCCTTTCGAGGATCCTGAAGAACCGAAAGATTTCCGGAAGACCATACAAGTATGTCATTTAGCCTTGCCACAACAGAAAATTTCTAAATGTAAATTGCTTGACTCAGGATTGTTTATCATCTCTGTGCAGAGGATACTCAGCGTCCAGTATTCCATTCCAGATACTGTTCAAATATCTCATGAATGTCTAGAGCTGATATCGAGAATTTTTGTCCCAGATCCTTCTGCGGTTAGTTTATATTTCCTCTGAATTCTTGTTTGTTCTGCACTACGGCTCGTGATATATGGTTTCAATTATCTTTTCTGTCTGTTTGTTTGGGTCTTGTTTTACACACACACACACACTTTTGTTGCTGCGATAAATACCCTTTGTTTTGTGCATTGGATTTGTGTAAAGGATTAAAGGTATTGGGGAATAATCCTTCTGTTAAGCCCATCGGGGAACTAGAATTTTGATCAATTAGCATGACTCTTTTATAAGATTCTGAGGTACATTTTTTAAGATCAAGGACAGAAAAGTGATTTGGAATAAGATTCATAGAAAAAGGATAACCACCTGAAAGATATGATTGAGGCTCCTTGCTCTTAGAATCTTCAATATAATATGACAAGACATTGACGGTTAATTGTGGGAGTGAAGACCAACTTAAATTATTTTCCCAATTATATTAGTTTGAATCAGACAATATAATTAGATTCCGTATTAGAGTATAACCATAGGGCATTTGGCGTGTGTATCCGCGGGTGCGATTGTGTTACTCCTTGAATTTCTTTTTTTTTTTTGGACGATTCCTTGAATTTCTTGTCACCTCGCTTGTTTTATTCAAGGGTGTTTTGGAGGCCTTTTGTTTTTCATGGAAGTTTAAACAGTTCTCCAGTTTCCCATTATTGAGCACTTAATCCCGGAACTGGAGGAATAAATGGACTTGGTACATCTTCAAAGTTGTTGCTTTTGGGGGATTCTGTTTGTTGAGGACATGGGAATCTTGCTTCTTTCTTTTCCTTTCTTTGTTGTTGATTGTGCCCGATATTTACGGATGTGCATGCATGTAACAGAGAATTACCATTCCTGAGATAAAGAACCACCCGTGGTTCTTGAAGAATCTCCCTGCTGATCTGATGGACGAGGGCAACCAGTTCGAAGAGCCTGATCAACCCATGCAAAGCATTGACGCAATCATGCAAATCATTGCCGAGGCCACTATACCAGCAGCTGGAACCCTTGGTCTGAGCTCTTACATGACGGACAACCTGGACATGGACGATGATATGGACGACTTAGACTCAGAGTCTGAACTTGATGTTGATAGCAGCGGGGAAATAGTCTACGCAATTTAATTCAAGTACGCAATGTTAGTTGGAAAGAGTTGTTACTGTTGGTGAAAAACTAGAAAAAACAGAGAATGTGCAATAGAGTGTGATAGATTATTAGCATAGAAAATCAGATAGGGGGATTGAAGGCTCTATGCTATATCATCTCATATACTCTCCTTGGAAGTTGGAGGTTGGAGTCTGTCTGTCGTATACTACTTATAAACCTAGTTGTATATTTTTACTGGGGAGTAAATTTGTTTTTGAACTGTTAATCTGTTTGTGAGGGTGGTAAGTGGCGGATATTCTAGCGATACATGATAATCCACACCATCCCTTCATGTTGTTAAAACCTTTTTTTATAGCCGACACTACTTTAGTGGGGATAAGGCGTGATTGTTGTTTTATTTATCGGTTTTGCATTGGTCCTGTAATTCCCTATTTTTTTTTTTTTTCGTTTTTATATGCTGCTGAGCCCAAAGATATTCCTTAATTTGGTTTTTGCTTGACTACTGTCTTTGAAGGGATTCGACCATTTCAAGAAGTTTGTCCCCAACACAAAACCGATTGTCGTCGTCGAAGATTCAGTAGGCATGAAGTTGAGGAAATAAACGCGTTGGACAAAACTGTACCACGTAGAGCTTCTGCGGCGGTAGGTCAAGGACCGCAGCAACAGAAGACTCTTTAAATTTTGCGACAAATCCATTCGACTGGCTCCAATAGGAGAAATTTTTAGTTGTAACGGAAATACGGGTGGTACACCACGTGTTTTTATGTAGGCGGTGGGAAATTTTATTTTTTAAGTTACTAACTTTTAACATACATATGCCATCATTTATATAGCGACACGTGGTGTACCACCCCATGTGACGGTAACACTGAAAAATCTCTCCTCCAATAGGGGTTTTGCGACAATCTGAAATGATTTTTTTTTTCCTTGCAGCTAATGTGGCTGAAAAAAAGTTCTAGGGCTTTGGGTGAATATTTTCTTGTGATTTTGATTCCGTTAAGAGCAAAAGTTTGCAGAGGAAAATAATTTGAGAGAAAAATGAGAGAATTCTCATCAGAGAATTTCATCTATTACATGTGAGCATGACAACCTATTACTACGGTGTAGTGGAATTCCTCTTCACAAAGGTCTTAGGTTCGATTCTCGCCAAAGACGAATTTGAACCATATTATTGCTAGCTCATCGTGAGGTTAAGCCTACCCCTCCTTTTTAGTATAGACAATATCGTTTGTTCAAAAAAAAAAAAAAAAAATATCCTGACAAATTACACAAATATCCCAAGTTCAATAGCAGGAATCAATTGCCTAATCAATTGAGTAATAAATGACTTAATCAATCCGACTCAGCGCCAAACACTTTGGTTATATAGTCAATACTATTTGATGCCAAATTAATCAATCCAATTGAAATAATAAGTACAATCCGACGTATCAAACAAGACCTAACATATTCCTTTTCACCATTCAATAAAGCTGTGTCTTTGGCTTGTCTAGTTGGTTAGGATACTTGAAAAATGAAAAATTAAAAAAAGCTTTGCCTTTGGCTCCAAGTTATTAGCATTCTCCATATACTTTTAGATTGAATAAATCAAAAGAGAATTTAGTTACAAAATAGAAGGTGAAAGGCAACGTGCGAAAATGATTCCCCAAAAGGTAAAAGAAGAGAATCAGAAAACACTAATCCATGGACTGATGTTGTATATTGAAATCGTCTCATCCTAGTTTATTGTCTTTGCTATGCAACATCTCATGCAGTGAGTAAATACAGCTCTCAAATTTGAAGTTTGTGGAGCCAATTCAGGTTGGTTTCTTCTGTAGCCACCGTTATTTTGTCGAGATTTTACAAGACAGGTTCCCGTATATTTCTTTTGTCTTCATCACATATCACTTTCTCTAACCGCAGATCAAGATCAAACACTGATGGAGGATTGTGCATTGATCTTTCTTCAACCACTCATGTTACCGATGCCTTCAGGCAACTCCTTAATGCCGAAACAATTCTATATGTCAAGAAAACACAACTAAGTGAGTTTTTCAATCGAGACCTGAAGCTTTACCAGGTCTCTGCGGGACCTTAGCCTCAACACTAATGACAGTTGTTGATGCTGGCATATAAGATCACACTGCTTCACAGGCAATTTCAGCAAATCGTTACAATGGTCGAGGTTCTAGTTTGTTGAGAACGATTTGTCTGAAAACAATGTGCTATATGATGCGAGTGTGGGGAGAAATTAATGTGGAAGTGCGTATGTGAGCTTCTACGTACGTGATTGTACATGTGCATGTATCTATTTTTTAAAGAAATAGAGATCACAGATACCAGCCTGAGACAGATACTAAGCGAGCTTCTTTGTTTTCTGCTGCTTCTCCGTCCACCACGGTGGAAGCTTATCTCCACGTATGTCTATAATCAGTCTATGTCCTATCGGGTCTTCACGAATCTCATGAATTGATAGCAATTTAAGCATATCATGTTGGATAGCAAAGTGTTCATCATAGTAGCCATCCAAATCCTCATAGTAGCAAGTGTATAATGTATTGGATGGAAGGTCAGGAACTGCACATCATGTTGTAATCAGGTTTTGGTTTTGATTTTGCGCCAAAAGATTTGCTTCAATTCGGTTGAGCACCACCGCAGAATTAACTCCTAACCGCAGATTCTGCAGACACAAGAGTCTTTGAAGAGATTTATCCAATTTAACAATTTTTTCTCATATTTATGCGTTTCCAACAGGTTCAGCATCCCGGGGGAAACCTTGTAGAACCTTTCGACAAGCTGCTTGCCATCCTCCATTGTTCTTATAAACCTTTCAGAAACCAAAATGGTTCCGGTTTGGTTTATCTGTGAGATCAGTGGCCTCAAAGACTCTAGCATGGAACTGAGATCACTGTGGAGAGTTGGAAACATCTCAGCCGTCTTCTGCGCTTTTACTGGCGGCATCAAACATCAATTCAAATGGCTGAACAAACAAATACCGTAGCTACTTCCACAATTACAACCACCACCCAGCTCTGAAAATCTGAACTTCTAAAACAAGAGAGCAATAGTTTTGGATCACAAATGCATTTGAAATAACGAAGAACCTTCGAGATACTAGAGATAATAGTTAAATTAAACATGGTAAATACCAAAAGTATATATGACAATATTTGGAAATTTCTTGTATATTCATTAATCTCCAAAGTGGAGTATATATAGGAGTTACAATTGGTATTACATATGCACTTCGTCAATGTGGGACAACATACTACTGTTTACTGCTTTAACTAATATATAACTTGCAACACTCCCCCTCAAGTTGGAGCAAAGATGTCACGCATGCCCAACTTGTCAAGCGAGTTGGAAAATACACTATTAGACACAACCTTAGTAAGCACATCAGCGAGTTGATCTTCAATCCCACAAACAGAAACATAATAATTTCAGAATCCAATTTTTCCTTGATGAAATGTTGATCAATCTCCACATGTTTTGTTCGATCATGTTGCACTGGATTATGAACAAATCTCAATAGCAGCCTTGTTATCACAATAGAGTTTCATAGCACCCTTGGGTTTAAATCCAAGATCTCTCAACAATTTTTTCAACCACAACAACTCACATACACCATGAGACATACCACGGAACTCAGCTTCAACACTTGATCCTAACCACCACTTTTTGTTTCTTGCTTCTCTAAGTAACTAGATTACCACCCACAAATGTAAAGTATCCAGATGTAGATCGCTGATCAGTGATAGAACCTGCCCAATTTGCATCTGTATACCCTTCGACATTCAAATGACAATTCTTGGAGAAATCCAAGCCTCTGCCAGGAGCCATCTTCAAGTACCTCAAAATATGGATTACTGCATTGATATGAGCTTCACTGGGCGAGTGCATAAACTGACTTACCACACTAATTGCATAAGTAATGTCAGGGCGAGTGTGAGACAAATAAATTAATCTCCCCACAAGCCTCTGATACCATTCCTTATGAGTAGGAACTTGATCCGGAAATAAGTCCAGACAATGATTCTGCTCAATTGGAGTATCAACAGGTTTGCAATCTAACATATCTGTTTCATCTAACAAATCAAGAACATACTTCCGTTGAGATAAAAAAATATCATGCTTGGATCGTGCAACCTCAATTCCAAGAAAATACTTCAATTCACCAAATTCTTTCATCTCAAATTCATTAGCTAGATACTTTTGAAGGCGTTATATATCCTTCTAATCATGATCAATCACTATCATGTCATCAACATAAATAATCAATGCAGGTAGCTTACCATTTTGTCGCCTTAGAAACAAAGTATGATATGAATGACTCTGGAAATACCCACACTTCTTCATTGAACTTGTAAACCTCCCAAACCATGCTCTAGGAGATTGTTTCAAACCATACAAAGCTTTTCGCAATCTGCACATAACACTTTTTCTAGGAGATATTCTGATACCAGGTGGGAGATCCATATAAACTTCCTCCTTGAGATCACCATGAAGGAAAACATTCTTCATATTAAACTGCAATAGGGGCCAATCATGATTTGCTGCTAAGTATAGAAAAACATGCATAATATTTAGTTTGGCAACATGAGCAAAAGTCTCCTGATAGTCACGTAACTCATTAACCACTCTAGGGTCATCGGTCACATGATCAGTGGCCCCAGTATCAATTATCTATATATTTGTTCCACCAAGATGCATAACAACACTATGATTATATTGAACCATTTAGCTAAACCACGAACAATAAAGGCACAAAAGATACGTAGCGGAATTAAAACAATTTACCAAAACACATTGTAGCCTTGCACTATTCACGACACTGTAGCACGTCACTGTTCGATTTTTTATTTTATTTTATTTTATTTATTTGAACGAAGGAAATCACAACAAAAGTGGGCACAAAATTAAAGAACACAGGTTGCCAAGAGCGAATTGCTTTGATGCCAAGTTAAATTAAATTTGGTAAATACCAAAAATATATATGACAATATTTGGGAATTTCTTGTATATACATTAATCTCCAAAGTAGAGTATACATAGGAGTTACAATTGGTATTACATATGCACTTCGTCAATGTGAGACAACATACTACTATTTACAATTTAACTAATATATAACTCGCAACAATAATTTGCCTTTGAACTAATTTTAACTGCGGAGAGAAATTGAAACTTGGGTGTATTGGGAGAGACTACTCTTTAAGTCTTAAGATAAATTTGGAAGCCGAGAAGAGAAAAATATATCAATAAATTCAAACCAAGCACAACGTA